GCGACGGCAAATTGGACTCCATTCGGCTTATTAACAGTTATGGCGTCGCTGTCTCCGTCTCCTTCTTCTCCTGCCGCCTTCGCCATCGCCTTCGCCGTTTGTCTTTGCCGTTTGTCTGTCGTAGCTGTATTTGTATTGGTATTTGCATTCGTATTGGTTTTGCGGCTTCTGATGCTGTCGTCGCGTCGGCAGCGTCTCTGTGTGTGTGTGTGTGTGTGCGTGTGTGTTTGTGGGCGTCGCTTTTCTGCTGCTGCGACTGCTGCTTCGGCTGCTGCTGGCTCCTTTGATTGAAAAACTGTATGCAAATTTGTTTGAATTAATTTATATCACAATTTTTCACATTAATATTCGCACAGATATGCATTCTGGCATTTGCGCACGCATTTCAATTGTTACCTAACCTCAATCCATAATTTAGGTCTTCAATCAAGATCAGCGCACAGCACAGTTCAACTAATTAGATCGCATTGGGGCGGGGTCAATCCCAACATTTCGCCATATTGTCTGGCATACTTAAAAATTTCTGATTGTTTAACCGGCGCAATCTGGTGTCGACCGTGTTGCCCAAACCAGTTGCAGCCGGGTCACGGCACTTCCGCTGCCCCAAAGACGAGGACGAGGAGCTGAGCTCCACTCCGTGACAATTGTCTGCATTCAGGAGTTAAGCGAGCGACATCAGACGTCACCTTTTTATACCCTCAACTCATTTGAATTGAGGTATAAGGCTTTTGTGCCAATTTATGCAACGGGCAGAAGGAGACTATGCGAGCCCGTGAGGTATAAATACATATACATATATGTATGTATGTACATATATGCTTACTCAGCAGCTGTTAGAGAGAGACTCGCGGGAGACTTAAAGAAAAGATCGGTATATAACAACTTATCGATAGCTTGCACCCATTCGATACCAATCGATACTCCTGTAATTGGAGCATAGCTCGGAGCGTAAATAACAACTTATCGATAGCTTGCTCCGTTCCGATACCAATCGATACTCCTGCTCCGTTTTGATACCAATCGATACTCCTGCATTTGGAGCATAGCTCGGAGCATATAAAATCTGGAGACAATCAAATTTAGTATATAGGCTCTCCGTATATAACACATTGATCCAGAATCTCCCTCTGCTCCTCCCCTCCCCCAAGTCGTAGGAACACCTCGTTTTGATAGTCTATATACACATTTGTGTGCCACAATGAGTACCTTCCACTTCCATAAAGATCGACTTATTGTTTAGGGTATTTATTAGTCGGGCACGCCGCACTAGACTGGGTTAGTGGTCAGCTCTCCGGCTGCAGACCTGCTGCCGCTGTACCACTATTTGCATACATATGTATGTATGTATGTATGTACAATGCGACTGTTCGGCGGCGGACGCAGCTGGGCGGCCGCCTAATTGATTCTGTGCCATAAATTGAAATGCACTTCGGAGCGCGAAACCGTTAAATTCAAATGAAGTTGCACTTTAAGCTAGCGAGGCGAAGGGGCAGGGGTAGTTGCTTGATTTCTGAGTTGGGAAAAAAAATTGCGTTTTGCCTGGCGACAATCAACATCATAATGAGCTACTTATCAATGGCTCTGTGGGGACATCAATGTCTGCCGCTGCCTGGCAACAGCGCAGCTCGCCCGTTGTGACCCCCCCCCCCCCTCTATCACCCTCCCTTCCCCCTTCCAAGCACACAGACACACGCAGAGCTTGGCGAGCCCAAAAGTCGCCCACGCGCTCGTCCAGCCAATTTGGCCAACTGTGTCTGGCAATAGGGCTTCATTTGAATTGTCAGCTTGTCTCCAATTGATAACGGGACTGCGTCACACCCACGCTGCACGTCCCACAGCCTCACAGAGCCGCTGTCCCTACAGCTGCCTGGCCCTAGTCCTAGTCCTGGCTCTGGTCCTGGTCCTGGCACCGCCAATCAGTCCTCAGCATGTCGTAATTAAATACAACAAACAAGCAAGACTACTCCAGTCGGGAGTGCTAGACTAGTAGATACCCTCCACCATAACTTTATATATAGTCCGATCTTTTTAAAATACTTCAGTAGAGTACTCCAGTCGGGAGTGCTGGACTAGTAGGTACCCTAACTCCTAGCTTTTCACCATATACCTTTTGATTAACTCGGTTGATATAGTCCGATCTTACTGGAATAGTTCATGGCTTAAGTAAAAGTCATCTTGTCGGGAGTGCCTAACTAGAAGATACCCTGAACGATAGCTTCCCACCATTTGCACCTAGATCAACTCGAGCTTTATACTCCGATCTTTATATATAAATAGTTCAGGGAATAGTTCAAAGATGGCGGCATAGCTGCATTATTCTTACCCCAAAAAAAAAACCCATGTCTTAAAATCGATATTTATCGATATTATGCAAATGCAAGAATATATGTTCAAAAGAATATAAACTTGCTCTGCTTACGGTATACGGAAATATATTCACAGAATTTCAACTCCCTAGACTTTGTAGTTCCCGAAATCGAAGGGTATACAGAAACGGACGGACGGATGCGGCTGGATAGACTGAACTATCGAGTATATATGCTTTATATATAAGATTTATGGGATCGGGATTCTTTTTTTAATTCCCGAGATAGACGAGAAACGGACGGACAGATGTCCCTAGATGGACTAAACTTCCGTTCGGAGCAAGAATCTATATACTATATAGGATCGGGATGCTTTTCTACTAGACAGATGAACTAAGATATAGTTCTGATCAATAATATATATGTATTTTATGGGATCGGAATCTTTTTGTCCTTCCCGAATCCAAGTGGTTCACAGAAACGGACGGACGGATGTGTCTAGATAGACTCAGCTATCGCTCTGATCAAGAATTTATATCCCCTAGGGAATAGGCGATGCCTTTTTCTGTCTGTTACAAACATTTTCCCCAAGCCATAATACCCGCTTCAATGGGGTTAGGGTATCTCAATAACTGCTGCTGCTGCCTCAATTCTGCGTATTTTTGTGGCGCAGTCAACTGCAAATTAGTTCAACTAATCACATCTAAAACGTCGCCCCTCCCCCCTCCCCTCAGCCCCAGCTTCTTCAAGTGTTCTGTTTTCTTTTTCATTTCCTTTTTCTGCCCAAATTGTGAGTCATACTTTTAGGGGCCACATTTCTCTGTATACCCTTTGTATATGCGAGAGATCTCACATAACCTCAAAAATTCGCTTTCCCCGAATTATTTAGGATCTAGTTCACATTCGAAGAACTTCAGATTTCAAAAAAATGAAATATTTCCTTAATTTTCTGGCAGTTTCCCGTTTTGGACCTCTTTTGTTTTGTTGCTACGTCGAAATTTCTGAATTTTCACAAAATTTTTTTTTTTTTTTAATAAACCGTCTATTTATAGTTTTAAATATTCCGAAATTCTGGCTTATTTTTGGCATAAATTGTGTCTCGAAATTGGTTCAAAATGCGCGCACACATATCCTGATTCAAGGATATTTTATATTTTGCTCTGAAAAAATGTCATATATACACTGATCAAATTTCGACTTGTAAGTTCCACAAATCCCCACTCAATGTCCCCCAGGCCCAAAAATCTTGCCAAAACTGAACAGATTTTTAATTTGAATGCCATATTGGACATAACTCGATGCTGCATTTAAAACATATGAATCAAAATATTTAATATATATATTATATATATATAATACAACTTAAAGAACTTGCAACGATTTTTGTCGTCGCGCTTAGAGTAAGCTTTAAGTTCGTTTTAAATTTAACAGCTAGGTTCAAATTTAGGTTTTACTTTTTCAATTTCAAATAATTCAATGTATATATATACATATATATATATTATATATAATACGATTAAGTATTTCCCATTCCCTATTTACTCCATTTCATCATTTGAAATTCAGAAATTAAGACATAAATTTGAATCCAGCTGTCAAATTTAGTACAAAACGCAAAACTTAAAGCTTATTCTCCTATTCGTGTCAAGCTCCAAATTTAACCTCAAATTTATAACAAAAGACACAATAATGGCGAAAGGGAAAGCAGAGAGCTTAAAAGTAGTTTTAAAAATAGGTTCAAAATTTCCAGTAAATATCATGCCCAGACTCTTTAAGCTCTAATAAGTTTGTCAAAATTGAGCCTAGTTTTAAGCTTGAAAGAACTTTAACTTTGATCATGGTTTGTTCTTCAGATAAAAACAATTCCACGTTTAGAAGTTCCCTGCTTAACGTACAACTTATGTAAATAACTACAAATTAACCTATTTTAATGCAGAATACTATTTTCCATTTTTCAACTTTTTAGGTCTATACAACCTAACCTGACCTTGTTAACCTAAAAGTATGCTACAATATAAAAAAAAGCTATTAAGTTGAAAAATTAAGATAAAAGCATGGCATAAATTAAAGATAGTCAGCACAGATATCGGAAATCAGACAATCTATAACTTGACTCAAGTTGTTACAGCTTATTAAAGCTGCAAAGCTCTGCTGTACCTATATTTACGCACAGCACTGTACGCAACAGTTAGCCAAAAGCAGACCCTACGTAAAGCTTGCGTTTGTTTGAGCTTTGCAAAGCTTATTTTTTTCGAATTATTAACCGTCACACGTGTCACAAAAGCTCACTCAAGGTTAACGGCATACACTGGGCGAGAAAAGTTAGCAGCTAACAGATTTTATACGCGCGATATGACAAAAATGCGTAATTAACAAATGTGCTGCTTTAACAAAAAAAAGATTAGCAAAAAAAAACTGCTTTAACAAAAAAAAAGTAAACAAAAAAAATATCTTCTGCAACGTAACAAAAACTGATTCTGGCGAAATACAAGTTTGTTTTGGTTTCCTTCTTTTTTCACCACTTAGCAGCGTTTGCACTGTCCATTTGCGTGTGGTGTATGCTAATGTGTTAATCCAACGGTAAAAGCTTAGCTGTTTGCTTTCTCTCTCCCATTTGCCAGTCGCCATTCGGACGTCGCCACTGCAAGTCGCCCCACGCAGCTCTCTTTGACTGCATCGACACATACATATACATACATACATATATATACAGAGATATCTTTAATAGCAACAAGTTGCCGATCGCATGATCCAAACGGTTTTGTATACACAATGAGCTCCTACACTTGCCTGCCGCTGGCCCTTAGACAGTCCAGGCTCCTGGCCACACGCCGCCTCAGCGAGCGCTTCCTGGTGCGACATCTATCGGCGAGCCAAGCGCTTCACGACAAACACGAGTAAGTTTTCGCCTGCCACACCCACACCCCCACCCCCGCCCCCACCATGGGTAGCCGGTAAACAAACAGGTTCCGTTGGGGATCGTTAATTTGGACAGTTGCATTCCCATTTTTATGTACATATGTATCTATAAAACAAATACAATTAGCATGATTGTGTGGCCCGGGAGGGAATTAAGCACGTAGACCAAAATTAATTTGGCCCATGGCAGCAGCTTTTTTATGCACATACCCTGTTCGCAAGGTGCCGTCGGGTATATTGGTTGCACGTCAACTTTGACGGGAATGAAAGCACAGTCCAAACATTTTATAGATAGCATAAGATCCAAGGTTAAAATTTCATTAGCTGATAGCAAAATTCTTGTTAGTTAAAGAAAGATGCAAATTTTCGTTTAAATTAAGCACAGTTTTTCATTGCAACAGAGTATTGCGCAGTCGGTTATACATGTTATTTTACCCTTGTAGAGGGTATTTCGTATTCTTGATCAGCTTTCGATGTAGCCATATCTTTCGGTATGCAAATCAGTCTGCGGATTAGGTCCGGATCGGAATACGAATGATTGATCGAAATTTAAGTTCGTGTCTTTTTGTTGTTGTTGTTGTGGTTCTTCTTTTTTAACATGTTCCGGTAATTACGAGCTTGAGTAACTTTTTATAATATTTGCAGCTGTAAAGTTTTGGTTGTTGGCGGCGGGTCCGGCGGCTGCGCCATGGCCGCCAAGCTCTCCTCTCGCCTGGGCAGGAACAAGGTGATTGTCGTGGAACCGGCCGATGTACGTAAGCAAATGTCTCTCAGATCTCCTCAGTCGAGTCGAGTCGCACTCAATTCCCCCGTTGCGTTCGCCCGTAGATACATTATTATCAGGCGATGTTTACGCTAATTGGTGGCGGCATGAAGCGGCTGGAGCAGTCGTACAAACCCATGTCGGAGGTGCTGCCCAAGAAGGCCAAGTGGCTGCGCGAGGCGGCCGTAGAATTCGATCCGGACAGCAATACGGTGAAGACATCCGGCGGCAATACAATCAAATACGACATGTTGCTCATCGCCACCGGACTCCAGCTGAACTACGATAAGGTAAGCTTAGGGTCGTGCAAATCTTGCCCAGCTCTCTCTCTCTCTCTCTCTCTCTCTCTCTCTCTCTGCTCACCAGCTTTGATCTCGCCTAGATACCCGGACTGGAGGAGGCGCTGGCCATACCCAACGGCAAGGTGTCCTCCATATATTCGCCCATGTATGTGGATAGAGTATACGATTGCCTGCGTAAGATTGAGGGCGGGAATGCCATCTTTACGTATCCATCGTCGCCCGTCAAGTGTCCGGGCGCACCGCAGAAGATTGTCTACATCTCGGAGCACTATTTCCGCAAGGTAAGACACCGTTCGGCCGCCTGGATAAGCTGCTAATTGGACTCCTTTCAGACGGGCAAGCGCAACAAGATTAACGTGATATACAATACGGCTCTGCCCGTGCTTTTCGGCGTCAAACACTATGCAGATGCCTTGTGGCCCATTGTTAAGAAGCGCAACATAACGGTAAATACACGCCGTAATCTAATTGAGGTTAAGCCTGGCCAGGATATTGCTGTCTTTGAAAACCTAGACAATCCCGCCGAACGCTTCGAGGAGAAGGTATAGCTCCGTTTAGCCATATAGCATATCCGTAGAAATACATGTCCTATGATCCGTAGTACTCCATGCTGCACGCTGTGCCTCCGATGAGTGCTCCCGAGGCGCTGACCCGCTGCAAGCAGCTGATCAATGAAGCCGGCTTCGTGGATGTGGATCAGTCCACTTTGCAGCACACCAAATACAAAAACGTGTTCGCCATAGGCGATTCATCCGGTTCGCCCAACTCCAAGACTGCCGCCTCAGCAGGTAAGTTCATTGGAAAACTGGAAAGTTGATAGATGAAATTTCCATAAATATATCACCCGCAAGTGTGGAAAATGGGTGAAAAACAAACCGAAACCAACCTTCGCATTGAGAATTGACCGTAGACATTGATATTATATAAACTGTTGTTCATTTTTAGCTGCCCAATCGCCGGTTGTGTTCCGTAATATGATCGCAGCTCTTGATGGGAAGCCTCTGCGCGATGTCTATGACGGATATGCATCGTGTCCGCTGGTGACGGGATACCATAGCGTTATTCTGGCCGAGTTCGACTATACTCTGACGCCATTGGAGACGTTCCCTGTGGCGCAGAACAAGGAGCGCTATTCCATGTTCATCATGAAGAAGGATCTGATGCCGTTGCTCTACTGGAAGCTAATGTTGCCGGGCTACTGGAATGGCCCCGCCCTCATGCGTAATCTCTTGTCCGTATTTAAGTTCAACAAGAAAAAGCCTACGTCTTAAGTGATCTGCACACAAATGCAATAACTCCTATTCTGTAATTTTGATTATACCACTTTGACATGCATTTAAAAATTGGAAAATTATTCGAAGCAGCATTTGAATTTAACGCCAGCTTAAATCAAATACTTATTAACAGTTGTCTGTTAATCAACAGTGCTGCGGCAACATTATTGTGAAATAGTTATTTTATACTTTAAAAAGTGATATGTTTATTTAGCACTTGTTTTATTAATAACAAGTATAAGAACATCCCGTTTTAGTGCAATTTAATTGTGACTTTGTTATTTATCGAAAAAGCAACCCTGCGTTTTTGGCGCATTTTCGAGCCACATGAAGTTGGCAGCGAACGCAAATCGAAAAGAAGAGGAAGAACAAGCGTGGCGTCTGTATGGGCGCAAGCATTTGAAGCTAACGAACCAAAACTCTGTTGGTTTTTCTAACGAAAAGAAAAAACAAGATTGCAGCCGTAATAAAATTACAAAAAATATCAAAATGAAAGCAGTGTGAGTATTAAAACAGCATTAAATGCAAAAAATGTTCTTGAAATGAATGTGCTTTCAATGCAGGCCCCGTACGCCAATGCGCGTCCCGAAAACCCCGCGCGCCGCGCCGTCGCACACGCATCCAGAGAAGCGACGAGACGTGTCCAATAAACAGCAGGATCCCGTGAATGTGTTCTGCCGTGTGCGTCCGCTGCAATCGGAGAGCGATCTGACGTGCATGCGTGTCAAGAACACGACCACAATTGCACTCAATTCGCAGGATCAGCTGCTGCATCCAAAGCAAAACGGCGCCCAGCGCGAGATACAGTACATCTTCAAGCATGTCTTCCAGCCGGATTCCAACCAGCAGGAGGTGTTTACTAGCGTCGCGCAGCCGCTGGTCGAGAATCTGGTGCGCGGCCGCAATAGTCTGCTCTTCACCTACGGCGTCACGGGCAGCGGGAAGACCTACACAATGACTGGGAATGCGCGGCATCGTGGCATAATGCCGCGCTGCCTGGATCTGCTCTTTCGCACCATATCCGACTATCAGGCCAAGAAGTTTGTCTTCAAGCCGGACCGACTGAACGGCTTTGAAATCCTGTCCGAGGAGGATGCGCTGCTCGAGCGGCAGCAGGAAATGAATCAACGTTTCGCGGGCGCCGGTCGTTTCGGATTCCGGCGCAAAGACTCCGATCCGGAAATAGCCTCGCAGGCCTCGGTGGAGCCAACGCCGCTGTCGGTGCTGGACGAGGACAACATGTACTCGGTGTTTATCACCTACGTGGAGATGTACAACAACAGTGTCTACGATCTGCTCGAGGACACGGGTGTACAAAAGTAAGCCGTAACTCTTTAATCAATCTATATTAGTTGCTAATCGTCTGGGGAATGCAGGTCCTTGCAGTGCAAAATCATACGCGAGGATGCCAATCATCAGATGTTTGTGCACGGCGTCACCGAGGTGGAGGTCAAGACGGTGGAGGAAGCCCTGGAGGTATTCCAAATGGGCCAGAAACGCAAACGGATGGGCAACACAATACTCAATGCCGAGTCGAGTCGCAGCCATTCCGTGTTCAACATTCGCCTGGTGCAAGCACCCACAGACTGCCAGGGCGAGCATGTCGTCCAGGACAAGCACACGATCACAGTCAGTCAGCTGTCGCTGGTGGATTTGGCGGGCAGTGAGCGCTCCTCGCGCACCAAGAACACGGGCGTCCGTCTGCGCGAGGCGGGCAACATCAACAACTCGCTGATGACGCTGCGCACCTGCCTGGAATATCTGCGCGAGAACCAACAGCTGGCTGGGAATGGCGCTGCCAAGAAGATACCCTATCGCGACTCGAAGATCACGCACATGTTCAAGAACTACTTCGATGGCGAGGGCCAGGTGTCCATGATTGTGTGCGTCAATCCGCGCATCGAGGACTACGACGAGAATATGGTAAAATGAATCCTTTGCAAGGCTTGCGGTAGTTCCTCTAACACCTTTGTTCGCTCCGCAGCAAGTCATGAAGTTCGCCGAGATGACGCAGGAGGTGCAGATAGCGCGTGCCACGCCCATGAAACCAGATCTGGGTCTGACGCCCGGCCGTCGCAAGGCCAATAAACTGTTCAAAATCGCCGTCAACAATCTGAACGAACTGGGCATACCCGAGGCCAAGCAGCTGGAGGTGGATGTGGGCCTGGTTTATAGCTTGGGTCCAGATTTTCCCAACTATCAAATGGACAGTCCCGAGACGGAGTGCAAGATACAGGAGCTGATGCAGTATTTGGAGCAGCGCATCGAGAAGCGGCGCAAATTGCGCGCCAACATGGATATTAAATGTAGCTACATTTCTTTCCAAATCCTTTGTAACTTGTCCTTAACTGAGCTCCCTTTTCGTGCCAGGTGACAATTTCCGTCAGCTGCTCATGAATCTGGACCGTGACAATCTGCAGCTGCGCACGGAGCTGGCGTCCCTCAAGGCCGTCTACAAGCAGGAGCGCGAGCGCAGCGCCGCGCTGGAGAACAAGGTGCGCATACACGAGAGCTCCATCGATGTGCTCAACAATACGGTGAGCAAGCGCGAGCGCCAGATCCAGGAGCTCACCCAGAAGCTGAACGAACAGGATTATCTGCTCACGCAAAAGGAACAGGAGAAGGAGAAGCAGAAAAAGAAGTTCAACTCAAAGCTGGCCGTTGAATCGGACAAAAATAAACGCGAATTCGACATGAAACTGCGCGAACAGCGCGCCAAGATGCAGGAGCGGATGCGCATCAAGGACGAAAAGTTGCGTCTAGTCTCGAACATTTTGCAGTCGGAGGACGTGCCCAGTCTGCCGCGTTCCCAGAGCTCAGAGAATCTGCTGAACGACAAGGATCGCGGCGGCGGCTTCACGGCACGCACAGAGTCCTCCGCTCCGGCAACGACACGCACGGACATCTACTGCACGCCGCGTCATGTAAGTTAAATATTTAACCAACCCTTCCGAGACTGCAACTGATTTTGTGATCCTTACAGGGTTTAGCAGCTGCCAATAATAGACATCGGCGATCTCGCTCCGCCGGCGACAAGTGGCTCGAGCATCGCGCTGCCAATCCTGTGCCGCTGGGCACCATTATGCAGCCGTATCTGAAGAATCGCAAGTCGGTCACCAAATTGACCGACATGAAGGAGCTGACCGGGCACGGCGCCAACAAATACTGTCTCGTCTCCCAGGAGGCGGACACCGATGGCGACGTGGAGACGAAACTGTACAAGGGCAATGTGATACCCACCTGCGGCGGCGGTGCCCAGGTTGTATTCGATGATGTCGAGTGCCTCAAGCAAAAGTCACCCGTCCATTCGCCGCCGCGCAAGCGTCCCAGCAATGGCAATTTGTCCGGCTCGGCATTTGGTGGCCCGCTGCCAACCAGCACCACGGGGCTGACCTCTGTGCAGGATGTTGCCTCGCGCTGCAATTTGGGCATCGAGGGACACAGCAGCAAGAAGTCCAAAATGTGAAAAGACGATATACTATACACTATAAAACATTATCCAGGTGTTTTTCTTTCCAGTTAAAGTTAATTATGTATTATACTCAGTCGATTGACGCCCATTTATAAGTTGAATCATGAATGAATTGATTTGTTTTAAGCTAATGAACACACAATTAAAGAATTCCATTATATTCACGTTATTCAGCTATTTATATAAAGCGAACTGTTTAGCGAGACTCAAACCGATAGAAAATTTTCACCAACAACTCAGGAAAATGGGTGGAAAGCGATTGCATTGTTTTCTGTGTAAAATCTGATTAATCTAAAATTCAATTTTAAAAAGTGTTGAATCGACCCAATTTTCGAAGAAGTTCGATCGGAATTTTGAAATTGATTGTTTGAATACCAATCGATATTCGTAATCATCATTCAAAGAAATTATCGATAACTAACCAGCGATAAATCGTTAAAGAAATGTATATCGGTAAGTCCGATATTTTCCACATACCCTTGCCAACTAAACTGTAAATATATTTCTGGTGAACCTAAAGCACTAAATACTTGCGAAATCGGAAAAATTTTCCAAAATATGCATCCTCTGTTTAGCCGTCCCTAAAAGTAGCTGTCGCCCTGTCTATAAGCTGCAATGCCTTATGCATATATTAAAGTATTCGATGTTATCCCTGTGTGTGTGTGATTTTCAAGCAAATGAACTGCTTGCAACTGCTGCCCCGAAAAGTATGCAAGCCATTTTGATGCGTAGACCTTTACCTGGAATATCACTAAGCTTACCCTGCAAATATTCATATAAAAAAAAATAACAGCTTTATTCAGGGCTGCATCAATTTCGCAAAAAGCTGTGACGTAACAGCTTACCATTCGATTGTCCTGATCGATAACCTTCTGCTGCTGATGAGAGAGCAAGAGCAAGAGAGCAGTTGACAGCTTACAGTTACAGTTGCACTTGCACTCCATGAAATGAAGTGAACTAAAAAAAAAGGTGAATAACCATTATTTTAAATTTTTGGACTAAAACTTAAGCCTGCCAATTGATTGTTTTGAATATTACAATTGAAAAGCCGAACAAAACTTTACAAAGGAATTTAAGATTTACTTCATTTATTGTTACGATAATTATGCCATAAAGTATTTCAATTATTGTTAAGAGTTATCTTCTTTCTCACCCACCGGCCAAATACATTTGTGCGCCGCAATGTGAGTACAAATATATCGTATATATTCAATTATCGTTCTATTGGCCGTTATCGATGTGTTTTTTTGTTGTTGTTGTTGTTGTTGTTATTTTCAAGTATTTCGTTTGTTTATCACAAAAAAGGATAGAAAACAAACATAAAATCACATGCACATGCATTTTTTATTTAACTCTTGGTTTAATTATTATTCCTGCGTTTATTCAGATTTATGCTTAAATTTGTAGATTAATTTCAATTACTAATAAATCAGTCTATAATTAAAATATATGTTCGCTTAATGCTTTTGTGTGTGTATGTGTGTGTGTGTGTGTTTGTTTGTTTTGTATGTGTGAGTGTGTGAGCTGCCCCCCCGAATTGAGTACCACGAAATACTTAAATCTCTATATACGGCTCTGGCCCACCAAATAAGCAGGCAAACATAAAAAAAAATTGAAATTATTTCGATTTTTTTCTCGCAATAATTTTAAGCATATACCAACATACAATTTGTACGGAATTGCCACACGGGAAGCATTTTAACAAAAACTTTTTTAAATCAAATACATACTCTCAATTGCATACGTGTGTGTAATTACGCATGTATGAGTGTGTGTGTGTGTGTGTGTGTGTGGGCGTGTGTGTAAACAAAACAGATCGAACGAAACCACAGAATATATAGAAACAGAAACGACAACTCAAGTGGACACCAAAATGCTCTAACGGCAATATTAACATTATCATAATTAATTAATTAATCAATCATTTAAACAATTTACAATTTTAATCAATATATAAAGCTGTTTTTTCATAAAACGTTTTTCGGTTCATTCGATACGGAACAAAATATGTATGTATGTAAATGTTGTATATGCATAATACGTATATAGTTAATATTACATATTACACAATATGTACCCTAAGTATTCGACTTTCAATGCGATATATATATACGCATATATATATATTTATATATATATATGTATATAAAGATGTGTTTGCAGCACGTATTCATAATCAATAAGAACTAAGAAGCAAAAATTATGCTATTTTGTGGAAAACAAATTTTGGCTATATAAAAAGCAACGCAATTGAAACAAATGATAACGTTGAAAACTTTTAACACTCACAACTCTCAACTCCCATGTGTGTGTGTGTGTGTTTGTAGTGTATGTGTGTGTTTGTGTGGTGTGTGTGTGTGTGTGTGTGTGTGTGAGCAGCTGCATTTGTTGGCAAGGCAAGCGACGATAACATTCTGATTATGCATGACAGATAGACGCGTCCTCTTTGTAAGTGTGTGTGTGAGTGTGTGGGTATATATATATATATGGGTGTGTGTGTGTGTGGATGTATGTGTGATATCGCCTCCGGCTGCTCGTTCCCATTACGAGCTAAAGCGTTTTAGCGGCTATCGCGGCATTCGCGTTTATCATAACATAGAGCAGCTGGCGCCATCTTTTGCAGACAGGTTGCAAATGGAACTGCAACTGGAACTGCATCTGGAACTGTTCCTGGCACTGTTCCTACGAGCACTTGACACAAGCGCCCTCCACGTCGAAGTCCAATACCATTAGCTTTGTCTCCTCCGTGCCATTGCGTGAGCCCACGGCGCATATCAGCTTCGTGTCGTTCGCCCTGGTTGAGATAGGGAAAAATTTAAATATGACATACAAGTGTGTATATAATTAGGAAGACACTCGTTTTTGACGACCATTAATTTAATAAATAAAAAATATACAAAAGCGCATAGCTCTTTCTTTTACTCATTTTAGGGGAATGGGGGGGACGTATCGAATAAGAGAAATATTCATAAGATATGTATTCCATATGAAAACCCAAATATCAAGCTTGGTTTCTACTTAAGGTCAAAGAACCATGTCTCAATGTCAATATATATCGATATTATAAAACGGAAGGAAATATAGAAAAAAATTATAAACTCTTTTTTAACTCAGGGTTTTTGTAGCTTTCCTGATCGACAGACGGACATGGCTAGATTGAAGTACTATTCCCCTATTCTCAATAGGGTCGGGTTAAATAAAATTAAGTATGTTACAGTTGGGTGTAACAGACTCTGTAATACTCTGTTAACAGCGCAATAACAGTTAAAAATAGTGGGAACAGTCGTCAATATTGGCTTGGTGACAGGCTAAACTCAGTTTACAATTAGTAGAGTTATTTTTGATTAGACTAGAATAGGTTCTCGTCTGGCTGAGGATCTGCATGTTAAGACTAAAGGCATCGATCGACTATATCTGTTGGGTAGGTTCTTTTTAACCGCCTTCTTCCTCGCCTCCTCAGCAGTTTCCTTGCCAGGACGACCTTTACACTTAATCTAGGCATCTGGCAAGCTTGTCTCTAGCTTCAATGGCGACCAGCTTCGGCCAGAGTAGAGTATAGTATGCATATATATAAGTACCTGATGCGCCAGACAACGCCGCCGGAGCCACCGGAGTCGAGTGCCACCAGATTGCGTATAAAGTCGCCCGTTTTGACGTCCCACAATTTGACGGTGCCATCATCGGAGCTGGTCACCACAAAGCGCGAATTGAACTGCAGGCAGGTGACCGCGGACTGATGCTTATTGGGACCTGGCAAGGATTAAAGAGTCATTCAATTAATTAATCAATCGAGACGAACAAACGGCAAAGAAAGTTACCCGATAGCGTCTGCAGGCACTGGCCCGTTGTTATGTCCCAGACCTTGACGGTGGAGTCGGCATTGCCAGAGACGAGTATGTTCTGGCGCAGCTCCATGCCCGAGGTGAGGCTTTGGTGGCCCATCAACGTGTGCTTGCAATTGCCCGTCTCCACATCCCACACCCGTATCGACGTGTCCAGCGAGCCGGAGACCACATGAAGGCCATCAAACTGCAACAATGAAGGGGATTCGGATTAGGAGATTGTTTATTTTAGAGCATGGCCTAGTTGTTGGCTTTTACCTGCAAGGAGTAGACGCGATTGGTGTGTCCTTGCAGCGTGTGCAGGCACTCCTGTCGCTCGGGATGCCAGATCTTGACCATGTAATCGTAGGCACCAGACACGATCAGCTTGCCATCGTATTGCACACATCGAACCGCCGCCAGATGACCCACCAGCACATGCAGACACGTGCCCAGCTCAATGTCCCACACACGCAGCGTAGCATCCCGCGAGCCGCTGACCACCCTGGTTAACAACAAGATTGGGATTAGTTATATTCAAGTAGATTCGGGACAACCTTCGCTTACTTGTTGCCATGCAGATGCATGCAGCGCACCGTTGAGGTGTGGCCCTGGAGTGTGTGGACGCAGCTGCCGCTCTCCATGTCCCACACCTTGAGCGTGCGATCCGTGCTGCCGGAAATTATGATATTGCCGGACATTTGCGAGGACCAAACGCCGCCCGTGTGACCCACCAAGGTGCGCAGGCACTGGATAAAAACAGATAGAGATTAATTGAGATTCATCGTAAGAGTTGAACTTGCAGCTTACCTTGCCATTGACGGCAGACCAAACTTTAAGCGTATTGTCATCGGAGCCGGAGACAATGCGATTGCCGGAGAACTGCAGGCAGGTGATGACATGATCGTCATGACCCTTGAGCACCTTGGGCTTGCGGACGGGCCGCGAACGCCAGTTCATCTCGATGATGTGCTGTCGCATGTACGCCGCCTTCCAGGGTGACGCAATCGGCGGCATATTGCCGTCGCGTCCACGCTTGGGCCGATCGCTGCGCGTCTCCGTTAGGATCTGAGCCTTGCGGCACTTCTCCTTCCACAGCAGATTGTCGTCGCAGAGGAAACGCCAGCTGCGGCACGTTTGTGCGGCGCGCAACAAATCCTTCGGCTCCAGATATGAGAGCACAAACAGCGCCAGCTCACGCGGCAGCAGCGATATAAAATCGCGCTGGAATTGCGGCTCGATGACCTTCATCATGTGACGCACCTGCGAGGGATCGCAATGATCGATCAGACGATCCACGGCCAGCAGCCGTTCGGCATGGGACCAGCGCTGGAATTGCGCTAGCCAATGCTGCAGCTCGGGCGGCGGATTGTCGCGTGTCGGCATCAGAGCACGCGGCGTACGCCGGCCCAGAGCCGGCGAGCTGCCCACCAGACCACACGTTGTGGGCGTAATCGTTAGCATCACGGCATTGCCTAAGGGCTGCTGCGTTGAGGAGCGCGGTGTTGAGGCAAAATCATAGGCAATGCGCTTACGGCTATTATCGCCCGCTCCGGCAGCAATGCCACCGCCAGCCCCGCCGCCGCCCCCACTGTTCGTTATGCTCATCGAGTAGTCGCCATCCAGCAGACGTCCCTCGTTGTATTTACGCTTGCGCTGCTGCTGATGTTGCTGCTGATTTTGTTGCTGCTGCTGGACGCAGTCGCTGGCAACGGCTTCGTCGTGATAGCTGTCCATGGCGTCCATGTCGAGCGCTTCGCTTAGACTGGCATTGCTGCCGCTGCGACTGTTGGCCAGGATGCTGTTCTGGCATGTGCAAATCTCTTCCAAATCGGAACAGTTGTTCTCCTCATCGCAATTGCCCCACGGCTCCTCGGCACTAAAGTCACCCGGCTCGACAACGCCGCCGCCGCCGCCGTTGTCAGCATTGCCGGGATTCTCCTCAACAACAATGCCCAGGACAATGGCATCGTTGGTGCTGTTGCGTGTGGCTTCAATGCGGCGACGCGGGCGATTGATGTTGTTGTTGTTGTTGTTGCCGCCAGCTGCCAGTCCGCTGCGTGCCAGAAAACGCTCCTGTGTCTGGGCGCTGGCATTCACCTGCCTCGTGGCCGCCTTCACGGTCGCCGCTGCGTAATGACAACGTGCCGAGGATGTGGTCGATGTGGCCGAGGTCGATGGCTGCGCATCCACGTCCAGCGACTTGGCCAGCACGCTGGTGCGACTGCAGCCGCTCTCCTGGCTCGTCTGCGAGCCCACCGAGCTGAAGGATGTGGCCAGTGGCGCGGCAGCATCCTTTTCCGTCTGCTGGCAGCTCGTCGAGGAGGCGTTCAGGTTGTCATTCGAGTTGGTGCTCGTGTAGACATCTGTGCGATTGCTGGTGGAAGTGGACGCGTTGCTGCTGCTGCTGCTGCTCCCGCTGCTGTTAACGCTGGACTTGACCAGCACCACAAAGGGCAGCTTGGAATTGGTGCTGGAACTGTGCTGCGGGCAGGCAATAGCATAATCCAGCGTTGAGCCCAAATTAAGTTTGGCAGTGGACTTGCTCAGTCGGCTGTTCGTGTACTTGCGGCTGCTCGTGGGCGTCGTCGATAGATCCTTGTACGTGCACTATAAGTAGGAGACTCCATTAGCTGGCAGAACATTTTCAAAGGGGGAGAAAGAGATTTCCTAAAGGAGGGAGCGGGATCTGCTTATAACAAGGGTCTTAAAATCCCTGAACTATGCTCTAAAAGCAGGATTCCGATAAGGAACGGACAGACAGAAAAACCTAGCTGCAACTGATCAGCTCGTCCTGATCGAAGACGTCTCTTTTATAGTTATCTGTAGCTAGCTCTGTCTAGACTCGACTGTTTATGCTGCTCAGGAATACAGATAGGCATGGCTGCATCTAATCAAATCGTCCTGATTAAGAATGTATATAGCAGGAATCAAAGACGTCTCCTTGATAGTTATCTGTGGCTAGCTATAGACTCGACTGCTCAGGAATACATAAGCTCATCTATTTCTTCATTTACCTTGCTGTCCGAGGAGAAGGCGCGCGCCTGGCTGCTGCTGGGCCAATCATCGCTGCCGCCGCCGCCAGCTCCAGCTCCTGCTCCAGCTGCTGTACCTGCTCCTGCTCCAGCTGCTGCTGCTGCTGCTGCGGCTGCCGCACGATTGATCAGACTTAGATTGAGGCGATTTTTGCTTATCAGCGAACTTGTGCCGAGTATAATGCCGCCGGTGAGTCGCTGTTCGGTCTCAAAGTCGCGACGCTCGATGCGATCCATGGAGTCGATGTCCGCCTGGCTGAGGGTGCTGCTGGTGGTCGAGCTGGCGGCTGCCGTCGCCTCCGCGCTGGCCGTCAGGCTCATCTGCTTTAGCCGAACGGTCATTTGTCTGTCGTGCAGCGAGCTGCTTGCCACATCCGCTAATCCGTTGCCGCCGCTGCCGCTTTCCGTTTCAGACTTAACTCCTCGGGGCTCCTCCGCCTCGAATTCATCGCTGAGCCGCTTCGGTTTGCCCGCGAGCAGCTCGGACTGGACAGCCGGATTGCCGGCGGAGGCGCTGGCATGAGTATGTGATTGCGGCTCGTCCACAACAGGTGTCTCCAGGAATATTTTGGAGCCATCGGCTGTTGTGATGATGCCGTCAGCAGTGCAAGCGACGCCTGCGCTGCCATCGATCTGTGATGTATTGGGGCAGTCTAGGGGCATGGAGCGCACCTCATCGTCGTCGTCCTCCTCCTCGACAATTTCCTCCTCCTCATCGAAATCATCCTCATCGTTTATAAGGCATACAACGGGCGGCTCGTCATTGAAGAAAACATTATTCAGCGAACTGCGCTCCTCGGAGGCGGCATCATCCTCGCTGCGCCTGCGTCCGTTCTCATTGCCATTGAGCGTATCTGTGGAGGAGCTGTCGTCGACGGGCACAACGTCCACGGTCGAGGCAGCCCCGCCCCCCGTGCTGGTGGGCAGTGAATTGGAAGAGCTTATCTCGTATGTCTCCAGGACGCCCGTCTCGGTACTGGACTCATCATCGATCACGACGGCAAAGCCATGTTGCGAATTTGAAGAGACACAGTCCTCCACGTCTTCCCTCAACTTGGACATAGATTCAGTTACTGCTGCGCTTCGCTCCTCTAATCTCGCTTGGCTAGTGCTTGGCTTTGGCTGTGGCTGTCGCTGTGATGCTTGAGGTGTTAGCGGCTTTAGTTGGCTCCCAGTTCGGCTGCTGCTCTCCTGCTGAGCGTCGTCCTCGGCGCTTTCACAATTACTGCTAGCAACTGAACATCCTTTTTCCATAATACTATCACTATGCGCGGCGGGAAGTCAATCTCTGCGTGCACTGCTGCTGCTTTCCTCGCCTGCAAGTTAACAAAAATTGCTTTAAGTCTAGTTTTTTGGACATTGAAAGCAACGTCTACATGTTTTTATTCGAGCTCGAGAGCTACATTTATAAAGGAGTTTCTCCTGACCGACAATTATCGAGGCACAGCCCAAGACGTTACAGCGGGAAAGTTTCTCGGAGGAGAGCTGAGAACACGGGGTTTGGGAATATTCGAGATCCAAGCGGGAAAAAATGATTTCTTTTAAGTGTGCTTTGGTGAAGGTGAAGTCCTGGGCCTGTGTGTCCTATGTATTTAAGGTTCAGACTAACAAACGCAGGTCGCCGGTTCAAATCCAACATGGAACATAGAATGTATAGACAATTTAGGGTGCTTCGGTATATACGCTAAAATTTAGGAGTCGAAAAAATCAGCCTTAAAGGTGTCAGGCTAACAAGCGAACGGTCGCCGGTTCAAATCCAACATAGAGTCCATAGACAATTTAAGATGTTTTGGTATATACAGTGAAAATTTGGGGCATAATATAATAGGAGTTTTCGCTAGGAGTTCTCCCTTTGGCGCGACTTGCACAAACGATACGGTCGCCGGTTCAAATTCAACATAGAACATAGAATCAATAGACATTTTAAAGTGCTTTGGTATATAGTGAACATTTGAGAGATAATATAATAGAAGCGTCCGTTAGGAGTTCTCAGTGTATATAGCGCGAATAGCACAAACGATATGGGAACTACTTTTATTTAACTAAATATCCTTGGATCAAGGATCAATAATTATTTTTTGAGCCACTTAGCATGCTCGTCTTTGCTTACAATTTCATTAAACACACAATTAAATAATAATATCCTGCGACGATTATAACTAATCTTTAACTTACATGAATTAATTTAAGACGTCGCAGTTAAACTTGTAAGCTATCCTTTTTTTTTTCTACCAGCAAAAAAACCCGCTAGGAACGAGCCGCTGTTGGCTTCGACCGCGACTGCGACGCTCTGTAAAAATTCCCACAGAACGCGAAGCATGGGCTAAGAGGCAAACGGCAAAAGTAATAAGCACGATGAGAGATCGTGTGCAGGCAGTTTTCTGCTGTCTGTTGTCTGTTGTATCTCTCTCTCCCTACTACGTTCGCCTGATGAAGATGAGACTGAGAATTGCGAAAAAAAAAAAATCAAAAATCAAAAGAAAAGAAAAGCAGTGGGAAAAATGTTTGTAAAGCAGCAGCCGCCGCAGCAGCCGTCGTCTCAACAATCAAAAACTGGCAAAGGAAATCACAAAAGTGCATCGGCGGAAGAAGCTAAAACGGCGCGAAGTAGAATGGGCAAAGAAGATGAAACGGGTATTACAACAAACATACAAACACATTCCCACACACACACACACACACTCACACACACTCACACACATGTACTCACACAGATCAGTAGCCCAGGCAGGCCTGGCTGAAAAGGTAAAGGCATGCGATGACAAGAGCAAAAGTAACGGACGGAAGAAGAAGCAATAAAGATACACACCACCAACAACAACAACAACAGCAGCAAAGACAACGATAGCGTACACCTTGCAATTTAAGCCGCTATCTGTTTGCGCTCTCTGCTCTCCCTCTCTCTCTCGCGCTCGCAACACAGTCATCAGCGTCGACCATCAGTCTCAGACTCGCCCTCTCACTCGCTCGCTCTCGCGCACAGCATCAATTCAACGCACACAAACACACGTACACACGCGTACAGACAACGAAAAAGGGATCATTGCAGGCCGCGGGCTGCATGAACAGCAGTCGAACAACAAAGGCCGATCCGCATAGGAATTTTCTCTGCACACACGCACACAGGCGCAAACATGTGTATGTGCATGTGTAGATCCTGTGTTGCATCACGCGCAAAGCAGATCAGATGTGCACGAGAATGTCGCTGCTTTGCGCCGTCTAAACCCTCCCCTTCTCAAAAATGGCTGTTGACCTCCTCTGAAGGTTTAAGGGTCTCCGTCCACGTTTTCGGTCTCAGTTTTGCTTCATTTTGTGTCCGCTTTCACACGGCATTCGTGTTACCTGTGCTGCGACCACGACAAGACACAGGACTAAAGCGAGAATGAATGCCCCGACCCTCGCTTGTCATCCATTAATGTCGTTTTCAAGGCACAAATAGTTTTTTCATTCTAAGTACGATACATAGACAAATGACCATGGGAATTGGAGAAATGGGTATTCAAAGAAAAAAATCCTTAAAGTTAGTATGAAAAAAGGAAATAACTGAATTGTATTGGCCCTAACCCCACTTTTCTGCACCTGCACTAAGCGAGAGCCAGCCCCATAATTCGTGGAGCAAGCAACAAAAGAAAAAATGTGAACATTGTTGTACACATACAAAAGCGACTACGTCGGATGTCGTATGCATACACACACACGCACGCAGGCACACATACAGAACAAATGTCACGACATGCATAAGAAAATGTGCTTACTTTACCCCTAGATAGCTTTATTTTGCACTTTGAACAACAGAATTCATATATTTGGTATACACTTGCGGCATGCAATTGCATTTGATCTTAATTGTTTAACTATTTCATCCGTTTTACACTTTTTGCGTTTAGTTCACGCACACACACATATACACACACTTGCCCATGCACAAGAAGCATTTGCCACCGAGCACACGTTTAATTGAATTTACAACGTACGTTTCTCTGCCGTTTTCTTCAATGTGCCGTCAGCTCTCCAGAATTATGATTTTGTTTAACCGTATTAGTATTATTCTGACAAACAAAAACAAAAATTCTTAAATTCAGACAGAAAAATAACTAAATGACTTGAGCTGCGCTGCCACTGTATGTCAGCAGCACCAAAGTATCGAGCCAAAGCATCGATACGCTGCCCGCAACGCTAACGTATCGATAGTTGGGGCAGCAGCCGTATCGATACCATCGAGTTATGCTATTCGATAACATATGTTATTGGGGATTGTTTTAATTTTGTTTTAAAAAATGTTTTTAATTGTGTGAAACATGCCAAACTGACTGAATGAGCAACAAAAAAGCAGATCGTCTGTATATTATACTGATGTAGGATTTTGCTTGGAATAATGAAGTGCACAGCTGCATATCGATATATAGGCCCGCCCGCAATCGATTGCTTGTGTTTAAATCAAGTGAAAAGGCCCATTAATATTAGTTTCGCTGCTGCAATGGCTACAACGGCGGCGTCCGAGGGCTTTGGGGACATTGTGTCCCATTACCTGGACAAGGGAATAGTGCTTATAATAGCGGATCTGCTGAGTTTAATAACAGTCTCCTCATGCCTGGTCATTAAAGTGCCGCAAATAAACACTATACGCGAAAACCAATCGTCTAAAGGTAAGAGCCCGCCCCACAACTGTTATTAACGCCCACTCACCCGCAACCGCATACCGATTCCTTGCTCTCGCTCTTTTGGCAGGCATCAGCGTCCTTGGCCTATGCCTGGAACTGTTCAGCTATACCGTTATGATGTCCTACAATTATACCGCTGGCTATGATTTTCTATCCTACATGGAGTATCCTGTGCTGCTGCTGCAGGAATATGTGCTCATCTACTATGTCTTCAAATATCAGGATATGCTGGGAAAGCGTACACAAATCTTTGCCGTTTTCTACGCGACCGTTGCAACGCTTATCTATCTAAAACTCTTTCCCATTATCGTCCTAACGTTCCTGGTGGTGAGTAAGAGACCTTTATCTCGCTATCGGGCATGTCCACAAACTTAGTCAATAGTCAATATCACAGCTGCGAAATCGATTAGAATGTGCTCCGACTAGATAACGAGTTGGGCTCAAACTCGTTTTACTTTAACTAATTATGTTATGATGATTGCTTTTGTTTTTGTTTTGTTTGAGTCTGAGCATAATGAGGCGCTCGGAACTGATCTGAACTGGGCATCATTGGCGAAGGTCATCTGTGTGTTTGTTGTATAATATTTCTGCTGCTTCTATTTATATACGCACACAATGCTCTCGCTGACCATTAGCACTGGTATATTGTGTGAATAATACAGTAAACGCTGCCTTGGGCGAACACCTGTCTAATAGCAAAGATTTCCGCATTTATCATTTGCCATTTCAATTTTCCCGACAGCCCTTCTGCACTCCGATTGGAGCCACCAGCAAGGTGCTGCAGCTGTTGGCCATATTGCGCACAAAGGATGCCAGCTCCGTCAGCCGCACAACGTGGGCCCTGTCCGCCTTCACAAACATGAGTATGAATATAAAACTGGTTTATCCAAACCAATCTTAACTTGTTAATATTTTAGCCCGCATCTATACGGTGTTTGTGCAGTCGCAAGATTGGATGCTGCTTTCAAATTTCCTGATATCCACGTTCCTCAGCTCGAGCGTGTTTGCCGCTGCATGCGTTTACAAGAAGAAGACGAAGGTGGCTTGAGCAGCCGGGCCGGGACGAAACAATACTCAAAAGACACGCGCCTACAGTTATCAGTTGTTTATGGTTATGTGTAGATATTCTATTATAAATTCAAATATCATTTTTGGTATTCGTTATTGGTCCATGTGTTGTTTAGCTATCCGCATAGTATGCCACGCCCAGTGCGCCCATTGCGGCCAGCAGGGCCAAGGCATAGATGCCCCAACGTTGCCAATCGATTTGGTAACTGGTGGGCTGCACATCCAAAGCTTTGCGCTCTTTGTGCTTGCGCTTGGCGAACTTTTGCTCGTATTTTTCCAGCTCTAGACGATTCTTTTCCTGTTCCTGCTTTAGTTTACGTTCCAGCTGCTGCTGTTCCGTAGCCTTCGCCTTGGACAGCTCTGCCAAACAGTTCGCATCGCAGTTTAGCTCAGTTTGGCCCGCACGATGCTTGTCGCAAGCTATCTCCAATTTGAGCCGCTTGCAGGCGCAATAGATGCGCACCTTCTTCCGGCACAGCTCCGGATTGGGACACGGGCCGGGATGGCAGACGGTAATGCAGCGATGGCCGCAATCGAACTGTGCAGAAAAGTTGAATATGATTATGAGTCTGAGACACTTTGTGGCCAAGAGAATACGAACGTTTTTGAGGCAGCGATTGCCACAGCTGCCAAACTTTTGCCGGCGCTCCAGCGCCTGCTGCACACTGCCCTCCTCCTCGTTGAAGTACTCGCTGCACTTGTACATGACCTGGTTGAGGCCGCAGTGGCATTTGGCTTTGATGACAAAGCCGCACGGAGCACAGGGCGGCGCATGGCAGCCTTTGGTGCAGGCATGCGTGCAGCCCGGGGGTCGTGGTATGGCGCAGCCTTCCTCGCAATTGGCACAGCCCGTCTGCTGGTGCATGTCCTGGGGCTGGGGCACTGCATGGCAGACCAATTGGCATCGATGATTGCCGCATTTCAATTGACGCGCACATTTGCGCTGGCAGGACGTCGGCTTCGAGTTCCAGCAGGGCCAAGTGGCCAGCTCGTGGCCGCCAATGCAGCCAACGCGGACGCCCTCCTCGCAGCGCGGATGCGGCAGCGCACGGTATTCATACTAAAACGGAAAGGACTTTAGGTGGGGAATACCAAGGCAAAATGTGAGGCTTACCTTGTGCTGCTGCGCCGGCTTGGGCACACGCAGTGCTGCGTGGCAGCGCGCCTTGCATATGTGGCCACAGCCGCTGGTGTCATTGGGCAAGCCACATGGCTGCACGCAGGGCGGACACTCTCCCTTGTGGCAGCGATGCTTTATGGCATGATGACACTTGGACGTGATGCTGCAGCGAGGCAAATGGCTTGAGATTAGCATAAACAAATAATATATATCAAATATTTGGCTACGAACCGGCACAGCTCCTGGCAGACAATGCGAGCGCTCCTCTCCCGGCCGCAGGGCACGCTGCGATGCGTCTTGCCGCAGCGACAGTTCACCTGCGATTCCAGTTTGCAGGGATAACAGGGCCCGTGGTGGCACACCGACTGGCACTTGTGCTTGTTGCAGCTCAGCTGCTTGCCGCAAATCTTCTCGCAGGGCGGACACTGGTCGCCGCAGCACTAGAAAAATAAACATATCTATTGGTTAAGACTAGAAAATACCCTGTAATCAGCGAACATGCGTATAAAATGCCTTCTATAGAGGCTGACTGTAGTTTATGGAATTTAAAAGGCTTTTAATAATGGCAGGCAATCAAAAAAGGAGTTCATTTCGGGAGAAGGTAAAATATGCCCCATTTCGAACCTACATACCAAGTATGTTGTTTCTAATATAATGCATAGACAGACGCAGGCACAGAAAGCAGGGAAAGGTTCGAATGACACAACTTGTTTCGCTAATCAATAGTTTATACACGGCTTCAAATGTGACTGTTTCTGTCTGTTCTACATATTTAAACAAAGAGTCAAGTACACATGAAATTCTTATACCTTGCGATTACAGGCATGCTTGCCACAATCGCGCATCTGCTTGCACTTGGTTTCGCAATTGAACTCCTTGGAGCAGGGCAGCTCCTTCTCATGCAGACCGCAGCGGCACTTCTTCTTGGTGCGCACCAGGCACTGCAAAGGCTTTTATTATAAATCTTGCTTATTTAAGTGGATTGTGGCGTCGCTCACCAAATTGCAAGCGCCGCGATGGCAGCGCTGCGCACAGCTATGCTTGCCGCAGGACAACAGCTTCTGGCAGGTGTCGCCGCATGTTTCCGCCAGCTCGCTGCAGCCGCCAGTTCTGGTCTGTAAAGGATCGGTCAATTAGTACATAAATCAAATAAATTATTGTATTGCTTACGCTCTTGCCGCAGGGACAGCTGCGCACGCCCAGAGGACACTCTCCGCCGGCACAGGGTCCAGCGTGGCACACCTTGTCGCAAAAATGCAGGCCACACGCAAAAGGAGCGCCACAAATCTAACAAAGGAAAAGATAACTAAAGTTATTTACAAGTAATTTATATCTTATCAGTCAGTTGTAATAGCCTGTAGCCATTAGGAAAGTACACAGAGGGAAGTCACGCAAAGGGAGTCTTAAATGGATCCCCTCTCTTTTTACTTACATTGTTGCACTTCCATTTGGGCTCGGCACAGTTGACAATCTTCTCCTCGCGTTTGCATTCGCAGAACTGTGAGCTCTTGCTGCTGCAGGGCGGGCACTGACCGGGCCGATGGCAGCGTTGGTTGCATTTGTGCTTGCCACAGGCCAAAAGCGATTGGCACTGGAAAACAGAGATTCATATTGAGGATCCGAAGTCAATTTGGAAAACTAAGGCCCACCCTTTGCTGACACTGCCAGTTCTTGTCGATGCAGCGCACGCTGCGCTTCGGCGATTTGCCGCACAAGCAGGAGCTCTGCGCGAGCTGGGCACACGGCGGACACGGACCGGGATGGCAGAGCAGCTTGCAGTCGTGGCCACATTTGGGCTGCAGCAGTTTGGCACAGATCTCGCCGCAGGAGTGCGGCACCAGAAACGGCTGTGGCTGCGGATTCAGCTCCTTGCCGCAGAAGCATTCATACTGGGTGGGTCGATCGCCGGGCTGATAGTCCCGGCGACACTGGGGACAGCACCAGTGCAACGATTTCGGACGCTTGGGCGGCACATACTCGCCCAAATGATTGTAGTGGCCCGTCTGCTGCTGCTGCTGCTGCTCCGCCTTGACCTTCAATTGCATGACGCTGTCGTTGGCCCAACGCTGAATGCAATTCAGATGGAAGAAGCAATAGCAGCTCCTGCATGACCAAATGGACTCCACGCGTCGTATGCTGCCAATGCATATCAAGCACGTTGCCGCGCCCGAGTGCAACGTATTCTCCAGGAATGTGGCAGTGCGATTTACATTGTCCTTCCTCGATCCCTCCGTTGCGGCCTGGTAATGCTTGTATAAGAGATCTGGAGAAGGAGTAGATAAGGTCGACGACACGTCACAGCTTAAATTGTTTCTTACCAAGAATATGCTTTTCATCTAGTTCGCCTTCGTCCTCCGAGCTAGAGGCGTATGCATTCACAAGCTTCTGTGCGGCTGCCAGGTTTTTAGCCTGCGCTTTGTTAAACTTTTCCATTTTTTTTGCCGGTTTAAGTTGCGCTGAAATCTAAAATCGACTGCTGCGAATTGGACAAAACCAGGGATGCGATTAAATCGAACTGGAGCGAACTCCAAGGCACACTTTAACTGGTTACCCAACACTGCTCAAAACGTTAGCATGAGTCAGATAAAAAGAAAAATTCATAACTTGTCACAATATTTGCTGTATCAGTCACGCCAGTGTTGTAAATAAATCAAAAATATCATTTGTAAAATTTTTTTATAAAAAGTCGCACGACGAAGTAGAATAAATTTGGTTTTTTGCATTCCAAAACGTAACGTAACGTGAGAAACACGCGCCCATCTCTAGCAACCAAAAAGAACCAGTTCATATTGAAATTGCGTTCGAGTGGCCCTAACTTTCACAATTCAATAAAATAGAAAAAAAAAAAACCAAAATATTTTCAGACGCAAAAACAATTTCAATATGAGTTTCTTAAATTACATATTCGGGCCCAAGTTGTACATGGAGTACAGAGGTGTGCACGAGCCACAGGTATGTTGCAACCGCCGACATGTGGTAATATGAGAGACTCCCACAACCAATTTGTCATTGCAGCGGAAAATGTATGAGCCCGGCCCAGCTGAAAAGTTTGGTGAACAAATCTTGTCGACGGTGTGTTTGTGTGTGCGGTTGGCAATGTATAATTGAACTAATGTGGATTATTGTGTTACAGCTGTCGGTCGTGTGGTCTGTCAGCTATTACACGTCACCGCTGATCTTCACATTCCTCTATAGACGCGGCTACTTTGTGGCCGATTCGATGCCGACGCTGGCCAAGCTCACAACCAGCGTGGGCCTGATAGTCATCATATCGCTGTTTATGCGCGGCGTTGGTCGCCGTCAATCGCGCGCCTATACGAGCATGATAAATGCGCTGACGGTGGCGAAAGTCAACCGATCCTCGGATGCACTGCGTCGCTTCGACATTGACTTCTCGGCCTGGCCGGTGGACTTCGATGTGAAAGCCTTGGCGGGGTGAGTGTGGCAAGGCGGAGGCCGACTAAGCTTGCGCCCATCCAACTCGTGTTTTCCTCCACAGCGATGCCAAGAAGCCAACCACCATGGCCATTCGACGCGACAGCTTGAGCATTGCCACACTGCCCTGCGAGCTGATCGCCTATGTGGCCATACACACCTTTGGCCTGTCCATGATCTATCCCGGCTCCGTCAAGCTGCTGCAAAAATTCATGAGTATGTGCCAGTTGAGTGCAGCCGTATTCCAATTAATCCTTGTCGCTTGCAGGACCCGCCTTGATCGCGGGACGTGCCAAACTTATTGAGGAGGACAATGGCATACGCTATAAGGTGAAAACAATTGATTCCAACGAAATCGATACGCTTTTCATTGACAATCGCAACGACAATGTCGGCAACGGCAAGACGCTTGTCATCTGCTCCGAGGGCAATGCCGGCTTCTATGAGGTGGGCATAATGGCCACACCGATTGCATTGAAATACTCGGTACTGGGCTGGAATCATCCGGGCTTTGCCGGCAGCACGGGTCAGCCGCAGCCGGAACAGGATAAAAATGCCATCGATGCGGTTGTTCGATTTGCCATCAATCATCTGGGCTTTGCCGTCGAGGATGTTATCCTGTATGGCTGGAGCATTGGCGGCTATAGCACCCTGTGGGCCGCCTCCATATATCCCGATGTTAAGGGAGTGGTGGGTGCTGCATAAATAACTCTCAACTGTATCCAAATGTCACGCTCGTCTGTACTTTCAGGTTTTGGACGCCACCTTCGACGATGTGCTCTACTTGGCCCAGCCGCGCATGCCCGCCAGCCTGGGCGGCATTGTTCGCGTTGCCATACGGAAATATTGTAATCTGAATAATGCCGAACTGGCTGAGAAATACAATGGACCATTACTCTTAATACGCCGCACAGAGGACGAGATTATTGCCGAGTAAGCGTTCTGCTCTGATTTTGTTGCTTAAATATATGATGTATTTGTGTTTTCCATAGGGACAATCGCATTGATACAAATCGAGGCAACTATCTGGCGCTGTCGGTGCTCAAGTATCGTTATCCCAACTTGTTTGGCTCCACACAGTTGTCGCTGTCCAAGGGTTTGCTCTCGAAGCAATTGGAATCTTATAGCTACACCGTTGCCGAGGAGAAGCTGTGCATGTCACGCCTGATAACATATGCCTCGGATGAGGGCAAATCATTTCCCATGCTCATTGGAGCCGATTACAATGATGAGATGCGCAACCAAATGGCTGTGTTTTTGGTAAGTTTTGCAATTATGTTAATACAAATTATTTTATTGCTACTTATTCACATTTTTGATCATATTTTCAGTTGCGCAAGCATTTACGCGATTACAACTCGTCGCATTGCACACAGTTGCCGGGCGAGTTCTTTAGCATTCCCTGGGATATACCCATCGAACATGGATTCGTATTTACTTAAGGCCCCTCAATATATATGATTGGGTTGGCAGTCACAAAAAATGGTATTCGTGTGCGTTTTTTTTGTTTTTGTTTTGGGGCGTTTTAAGTTTAAGAATTAGTGAAAATGGTTCAAGTCCTTTCTGCATTTTAACTGCTTATTAAATTATTACTTGATCGAGCTGTTGTACAATATACAATAACTGGTGTAAAATTGTCTTATACATATACAAATATATATATAATGAAATAAATGTCGCAAACCAATCACAGTCATAGCGATTAGCCCGGTAAACGGGTTTCGTTGGTAGAAAATGTTTCTATTTCTATATTCTATTATTAATTACAGCTTAACTCTGAAGGCCTATGAGTTTTTCTTTGAGCCGCCAAACCCAGAGAAACCCATTATGGCGGCCATATCGTCGGGCATTCCTGTCGCAAACTCGTCGTTCTCCTCGGCCTTGCGTTTGCGCTCTTTTCTCTTCTCTTTTCTGTGCTCCTTGTAGCGATCCTCTTCCTCTTTGGCCTCGCGCAGTCTCTTCTCCAGCTCGTAGTCTTTTTGCTTCTCGGCCATTTTCTGTTTGTTTTGCTGAAAGCGATCCTTCACCTGGTCAACGGTGCTGCGCTCCACCTTCATCGACATGCCCAGATTGCGCTGGTGCTTCTTGCCATTGATGTGATCCAGAAAGTTGATCGAGTCCTTGACAACACAGTCGCAAACATTGCAATAGTAGCCGCCTGATTGTGAGGTAGGTGTGTTTTTGTTTATCACAACGCTTTTGCCCAATTTGCTGTCCAGGTCAACCTTGTAGTCGCGTCTCTTCAGGTTTTCCCGCTGCACTGGCTCTGTGGCATAGAAATGACCGGTTTACAAAAGGATTCCCTGCAATGTCAGTGGAGGGCATTACCTTCGTCCTTTGGTGCAGATTGGTTGAGCAGGCGCTCTTGGGCCAGCTTTTGATACTCGTTCTTGTCCCATTTTCTGCGATGATCATCTGGTCGCATCGTCATTTTGGCAAATTTCTCTGCAATCGTGTTTAATTATACAAAAGGCAATTTTTTTTTACTTTATTAGAGCGATACAAAAATGTTATAACTATCGATAAATTCTGTGCGCAGTGTTGCATCACTAATGAGCGGCAGGGGCTGTTTCCGATTTCCGATAAACTGCCGGAATTAACTAGTTAATAGTGCATAGGTGTGATCGCCTGCTGTTTTGCATGCAATTGTCTCTGTCTCCGGCAGATTAGGGATATTCTCTATAGATGAATTATCACCTGGTTGGCTGAACTCCTCGCAATTATTGGACAGCTTCTTTGTATGAATCCTATGAATAAAAATTGATATATAAAGTAATAAAAACGGATTAAATTTGTTACGTTTTATGTCTAGTCAAGTTGTCCTTGCGTGTAAAGCTGCTGCCGCACTCTTCGCAATTGTAGCATTCCGTATGCGATGATTTGTGACGATGGAGCGTGGATTTAAGACTAAAAAGCTTGCCGCAGCCTTCCTCCGAGCACATATACATTAACATTATGTTGCTGTGACACATTCTTATGATAAAGGACAAGATTAAATTATTTTGTAACAGGTATCAGATACTTAACTTACTGATTGTGACGATCCAAGGAATCTTTGCGGGAAAAGTTTTTGTTGCATTGTTTGCAATCATGCTTAGTATTAGAGTCTTGCCGGTGCGTCGAGGAGTGTCGTTTTAACGTCCATCTTGTGTTAAAAACCCTACCACAGCCATCCTCCGGGCATACAAACTCATTGCAAGTCCAGTTAATCATCACTAAATTAATTTTAAATTGTGCACCAGCAAATGTCGATAACTTAACGATAACACAATCAGACAAGGTCAACTGCGAAGACAAAACTGATTTTTCTCAGCAACATTTAGAGATGCAAATTCTATTTTAACTGCTTGTTAACAATGAACTTACCGTATATGTAAAAATGATTAAGATACGCGTTAAAATTAATTGTAAACAAATTTCAGCTGCGACGCACCACAGCCTCAGCTACCACCACAACCTCAAGTGAAAACCAACCTTTTGTATCGAGTAGTCGGTATTTTCGACTACATATATCGATTACAAATGTAATTTCGTTATCGACTTTTTATTGATTTTACGAATATAATTCTTATTGGAAGCAAAATCTTACCTCAATTCAAAAGTGTTTTTTATCAAAATTGATTAATTGTGCGACTTTGCAACTGAAAAAAAAGCGTGATTTCATACTTAAGCCAAATATGGGCGCTGCATTCTTCCCGGTATTGTTTTTCACAGCCGTCTGGGGAGCTGTGGGCATCGGTATGCCCATTATGACTCCAAAGGGTCCGCATCAGAATTTAATACGCTGCATTCTGATGCTGACTGCGGCTTGCTGCTGGCTCTTCTGGCTCTGCTGCTACATGGCCCAAATGAATCCATTGATTGGCCCAAAGCTAAAGCGTCATGCCCTCGCCATGATTGCCAAGTCGTGGGACAACCAACTCGCAGACGGCTAAATGCACAACCAGCTGGCACACATTAAAGCTAAAAATCTGTTGTTGTATAAACCATGTTCACCAAAATGTATAAATAAATTGTAAACGTTTAAAATTTATTGCTAATGTTTATTATTTTCTTAAGAATTGATTTTGGCGCCGCAGAGGCTCCGCTTGGGCCTGCCAACCCGATCGAAAGAAGAAAAGCAAAAGAGAGAGAGAGAGAGGGAGAGGGAGAGTGAGTGTTGATTAATGCGCCTGCGCAACTGTTAATTCTCTTTGAGCTCATCTTCAACTCTCTTTGGAAGTGAGTGTAGCTGTGATTCCAAATCGCATTGGATTCAGTTTTCGTTCAGCTTCGGGCGCGTTCAGTTGTGTGTTTGAAAATGTTTGTGCTCTCTATATAAACCGTTAAAACGTTAAAAGCATATTTTGTGCATTTGATAAATCTTTGAATGTGATTTATAACAATTACAAAGTAGATATTAGCACATACAAATGAATACTTATTGGGCATTTAACACATAGATCTCTAAGTCAAATGGAACGATATTTCTGGACCCAATCTGGACTCTAGCGAATTCACTTTTTGGTAAGCCACAAAGCCCATATATATGTATATATGTTCGATATATTTTGCATTTTCCAAGTTCCTCCGACTGAGGTTAGTCTCTCCCCGGCCATAAACTAGTTAGACATGCATTAAACTAGAAAAAGTGGTCGCACTTAAGGCTGAAGGTACAAAACTGGTTACATTACCGATCCCAAGCAAAAAAGAAAAATGTTTCTTTTCTTTTTTTTTTTTTTCATTCGTTTTCAAGAGCAATAAAAACGATCAAAATAAAGCGGGCAAAGCTACAAAATTATGGTTTGCTCAAATGAAACTGGCCATAAGAAAATTAGAAAACGGCTTGAATGAAAAAAAAAAAATACAAAAAAAAAAAAAGGGCGGCAACACAAAAGAACTTCACCCAAAACACGGCGGAATGCCAACTGGCCAACAGGTGATAGCGCGTCTTTAACAATGGAGAAGAAGAGAAGGAGGAGCAGAGAGAGAGGGAAGAGGAGGGAGGAGGAGGAGGGGAGAACGTTGTTCTTTGTGTATTTGGCTTTATATGTCGCTAACCGTGCGCAATTACCACATTTGCGAACTGGGCCAATTGACCAGCGGCGGAATCCGTTGCACAGCTCCATTATTCTTATTCTCATACCTATTATTATTATTACTATTATGCGGCTCAGAGCGGGCGACCGGAGGTGATTGTATCGAGGCAAATTCAGAACGTTTTGCAGCGGAAATTGATTCCCATTTCGGCCACAAAACGAAGGAAGTGCTGCGTGCGACCCGAATAGATAGATCTTGAGACTGACTCATTAATTGGGCTACAAAATTGAATGTGGCAAATGTGAAAGTGCTTGCGAAAGATGGTCAAAACATGAATCAGCTATCAACATGTTCAAAAAAAAAAACTCGAAGACAGCCAAAATTGTTTTGGCCCGACATGCACAACATTTCCATGGACATGGGACACGCCCCTCGATTGGGTCGACATTTCTGGGTTGAATTTTCATTTTCACTTGTCGCCGAAAAAACAAAAATGGTTTTTCATTTCGCGCCGGAAGTGGATCAAAAGAGAAATACTAATAGAAAAATGTGTGTGCGAGGCGCAAACTTGTGTCGATTATAAATTATGTACATTTTTTATGACTCGCTTTATGCATTTTTTTTTTATGATTATTTTTGGTTGATTTCGTTTTTGGGCAAATTCTTAATTTACATTTACACTTTCGCCTCGTTAAGCGCGCGGCTTTTGAAGACGGCTTTGAACTGCGTGCCGCACAGTTCCCCCCCCCCCCTTTCCCAGCACCCCCACCCCCCCTCCCCCCTCTGCACACCCACACGTCGCAGTCCCGTGTAGAATCGCAAATTGGCAAGAAATCCAACATCATTATGTGAGCCGCAGCTGGCACGAATTACCATTGATCGCCCCGCCCCTCCTCTCTTTACTCTCCTGGTCAGCCACCCCCCCTCTTCGTCGTTCAACTGTGGCGCACGATTCTCGGACAATGGAGATAATGTCGGCTTTAGCCTCAAATGACAGACTGCTGCGGAATCGGCTGCCAGGAGAAATAGAACATAACGCTAAACTGCAGCTAAATTGCATTCAAATGATGTAAAATCGCAGCTAATGGGCCGCACTTTTATTGCGAGACAGAGAGAGAGAGAGGGAGAGAGAGAGAGAGAGAGAGAGGGAGAGCGACCCCAAAGCGAACCGAGTTCGTTGCGGTAAAGCAAATGCACTTTGTTGGAATTTCCAGGCAGTATACACACACACACAAACAAAAAGAAGACGAAGAAGAAGAGTATAGCAGCAGAAGAAAAAGCAGCAGAGAAAAAAGAAAATGAAATGCATTCGCTCATCTGCGTGTCGTGCATTTTGATCGTGGCACTAATTGCACTTGGAACTCTCGGGTTCTTATCTCCGAGCTGTCTTGCTGCATACTAAACACACTTGGCGCTTCCTATTTACACACACACACTCTCAGCTCAGATATCACAGCTGCTTCTTCTTTTGCCCAGTTTCCCCAACTTCATTTTAGTTACTTTGCTTTTGTAAACACTAAAAATATGAATATGACTGGCAGCACTGCCAAAAACCGTTGACGACAACAACTGCCTCACACAGCACTATAAAAAAAAACCGTTTCGCACTTACCTAAACGCAAACATAAACGCGGTTGGCTTTCAGTTAGACGTTTACCAACAGCTACATTAAATACCTTAACAAGGTGACTCTACAAATTGTATACAATTTTTAATTAATTTGGCCTATCAAAAACCGTTTAGCACTTACTCATACGTAAACAGACAGTGCTGCCAATACTGTTAGCAGTCAGTGTAACGGTTGCAAATGACAACAACTACATTAAATACATACTACACAGGGTGACTCCACATTTTAGCTACAGTTCAAATTCCCGCGCAGCCGAATTCTGTTCCACTCTGTTCACACACACACACACGCAGACGCACACACACATGGTTTTGGGCTGGGAACGCGCGGAGCTGTCAGATTTGTTTGCTTTTAATTACATATTTAGTTTGGTCGCCGGTTAAAGCGTAACGGTTTATGCATTTAATGACTACCCCCCTCCCCCCCTAGCTAACTCAGGCAAACACTATGTATGTAATTCCCATTCGCGTGCAGAGGTTGCCGCAGTGTCGCGCTGGCGTTAGCTTTTATCGTCATCGTCGCTTTCCGTTCGCTTGTCATCATCCGCCAATGAAATGCACTTTTGCCCAGGTTCCGCGTTCGGCGTTGCCACCTCTCTCAACGTTTATGATCGCTGGCAATGCTCGCTCCGCTGTGTTGCTGTTGCTGTTGCTGTTCTGCTCTAGTAAGGCGCTCACGAGGACGCCGTTAGAATGATTATGAAATTGCAAACTGTTGCATATTGCATATTCATGTATGCGTCTCAACAATTACTTATCATATTATACAATTATTTTCATTCATGAGTGCGTTCATTATTGGCGGCTGCCTACTTTTACCACAACTCAGCCAATCAATGGATTGCATAAATTTCGTCTAGATTT